GTTATGTTGGATGGAATCTTGGCTGCCTCCCAAACAGCCTCGTAATCTATAGGCTCCTCGGACATGCTGTACCACTCACCCGAAGCCCTAGATATCGACTCTTCCCCACTCCTAACCACTGTAATAGCCATAGACGCCTCGGCAGACACTGCAAGTAATGAAAATTGCGAAAAGACTACGAAAATGGTGTTGAAGGGTGAAGAGAGTGCTCCTTAATGAAAGAATACCTAAATAGATGAGGAGGTTCGCCGAAAGACTCACCGGAAAAAAATTGACAGCAAGAAAACTTGAGAGGTTTTGATGAGTGTTTCGCAAAGAATAAAGTGTGGAAATGGTAAGATTCTAGCCTTTATACCGGTGAAGGACTCAATCCTAGCCATTAGATCAAACCCCAGCTGATCTGAAGCATCCAAAATTAAATAGATCCGAGCCACGGATTTCGAACGGTTCACATCTTCAATGTTCCAGATTAATGCGTGTGTATACCAGCAGGGCTTGGCGAGTGAACGTTTTCCCCAACATCATGCGTCCTAATAATTAGCCATCATGATGCATTGAATGCAAACGGCTGTACGGTTATTGAAAGTCATTTCAATGCAGCCAACTTACCTTGGAAACATGCAAAATCATCACATCGCAGGCACTAATATCCGAAGGTTTAAAAAGGAATTCAGCCTCGCCAGTTCAACTATGAACTCGCCTCGCCAAAAGGAAATCAGCATCGGCCAGTTCAAATATGAACTCGTCTCAGCTTTAAAAAGGAAATCAGTCTCGACCAGTTCGAATATGAGCTCGCCTCAACTTTAAAAAGGAATTCAGCCTTGCCAGTTCGATTCTGAACTCGCGTCGCCAAAAGGAAATCAGCCTCGACTAGTTCGAATATGAGCTCGCCTCAACTTGAAAAGGACTTTAGCTGTGAAGGCAACTTCATTAACCTTATGCATTAAATAACTTCTTGAAAATCCAAGCATGGCATAAAATAACCACACATGGACTTGGGGGACTATTGTTACGGTTCGTAAATGGAAACGACACGTGGCACCATATTGCAGTGGTGGGACCAGCTTAGTTAAGCCAGTGTGTATTTTCCTAGCCTTTGACGTGGAGACCGAGGCCCCAGCTTATTTCGAAGCCTTAACTGATCCGAGGCTTTCGTTTATTACGTGGCTATGTTATCAATGAAGATCTATGTGGAAAAGATATAGCAATGATGAAGATCTTTATCATTGTGATTGATTTGACTTTTGTGAAAAGCAACTTTATGTCTTGTATTGTCAATGTAAAAGTATTTAATGTTTTGTAAGGTTAGGAAAGTCAACTTGATTGTTAGGATTTGATGCACTGGCCGAGGAGAGGAGGCCACATGTAAATTGATCCAAAGGTCATTATTTCATCTGTAACACTATAAATACCCCCACCATGTAGCACAAAAAAGTTAATGAAAAATTCCAAATACTTGAAGCAATATCATTCTCCTCTCTCATTGGAACAGCGAATTTCAACTATAAATCTTATTTTTATCGATTGGTTTCTTATACAATCATGTTACATTTATCTTGCCAGAAGTCAGAATGGAAACGTCTCGTGTCTTTGAGCTACTCCAACGTTCAGTTTCTAGAGTCATCTTGACCGTTGATAGGCATTAACGTGATGGATCAAGCATACGTATATACGAGTGAGCCCGCCATCTTTTTCTAGAGTCATCTTGACCGTTGATCGGCATTAACGTGTTGGATCAAACTTACGTTTATACGAGTGAGCCCGCCATCTGTTGGCAACATTTTTTTGGGTCAACACCCATAATCGCATATGTGGCCTTGACTTTGACGAAAGGAATAAAATTCATTTTTTGGCACCGTGTACTCAATAGTCGTCGATAATATAAAAAAGAATAAAGTTATAAATTTAATTTATCAATTCTTGTTCGATTTTATTCATTACCGTGAACCAAACATACACTTTTTGTTGCATTGATGAATCAAATGTTCATTGTCACTAATCTCATCATTCCTAAATAATTTATAAGACTTGCTACATTTCACGAGTTTCCAATTAAGGGCCTGATTGGGAGCTTTTTTTCCATCACTTTTAGGTGTCACAGTTTATGAAGTTGGAAAAATCGATACTTGTTAGTTTTTTGAGCCCCGGTTTTGGATTGTTTAAAAATCATCCAGCAGCAGTGCAATGTAATTTTGATCGGTTCTCTCAATCTACCGAAAGAAAGAGAAATGCATAATTTCATCCAGATCAGTCTTAAAGGGAAGGCAGATTCAGCGAGAGCAACAACAACAACTGCGAAGTGTTTGAAGAACAAGAAAAATATGTACAAAATGAGGGCTTAAACGCCAGTTTAATATGGCTAAAGATTTTTTCAGAGACACAAACTCGACCACTGAATCGAGTTACAGATGAAGCGCAAACATGGAGGAGGAACAAATGGTTCGTGTTAAAGTAAACCAAGCATCATCAAACAGTGCCACTAACTTTTCATCAAACAGTGTAGTTCATCTTCGGGTTTGGGTTCCAAATTACATTGTACAATCACATTGCATAGATGATTTCTCCGCTGCTATCAATGTCGAGATCAGGGTCACTCTCTAGATCTTCCTCCATATCGTCATCAAGATCCAGGCTGCCAGTAAGATACTGATTTAGACTATTAGTCCCAGTTGCCGGGATAGTAGCCTCAGTAATTATTGACATGATTTNTTGCTGGGATAGTGGCCTCAGTAATTATTGACATGATTTCAGCATCACTCTGCATCGGCTGATCAGGCTCCTCAAACTGGTTGTTCGTCATCTTTTCATCCATAAGATCTGCTGGGAGGTTCTTCAGAAACCACTCGTGGTTCCTGATCTCGGGAATACTTATCCTCTGCCACAATGTAACGGATGTAAGAGGACTTGAGTTGCAATATTCTATACCTAAAAAGCTAAAATAAGAAAAGAGTGACATCCTGTTATCACAAAATGGCAGCACCAAGAGTTATGAGCTTAGCATGTTTAGCTAAGCTTGTAAGATGCTTTGTTCAGTTTTTACATTTTATTTTGGCAGTAAGCGAAATTCCAACTTTGACCAATAAAAAAAATATCTTTTCTGAAACTCATTTACTTACAACTAACTTTACTTTCAAGTAAACTTTTAAACTTAGCCAAACATGCTCTACAGGTAATTCTCCTATTTTTCCAACTCCTATTAATCAACTTGGGATTCGGTGAATACTGTGGTGGTCAGGACAATTATAAATTATACCTATCCACTACATTATTACGTTTCCATAAGCCAAACCAAATAAAGAAACAGAAACCAAACCAGTATTATGCATGTATGCATGGGAACATAAAAAGGGAGATTGAAGAAGCAAAAAGGTTCACACACACTATACGCGGCACAATAAAAACACTAGTTAAGAAGTTCAATAATGACAGAAAAGAATAAATGAAATTCCGTTCCTGGAATAGTCAACCCAAGGCCGAAATAAGTGTATTAGTCTTCACGTATGCAAACAAATCTACAAAACTTTAACCAACCTTTGAAGGGTCTGCGACAAAAATCCTTGAGATCAAGTGATGGCATTCTGGAGATATATGAACATAATCTGGAATTGAATACTGAACATTCAAGATTCGCTGCAATAATAAAGCTGGTACTTCAATAAGCAATTTTAACAGGATAAAAAACATATTCAAGGCAGGCTTAATAGTAGTACCTGTATTGTCTTACGGAAGTTTTTGGGTTCTTGAGGATCCTCAAATGGGTAAGCCCCAACCAACATAACATAGAGAGTTACTCCGCAGGACCAAACATCCGCAATCTGAAAGAGCATTGGCACAGGAGATAAGAAATTAGTCTACTGGTGAATAGTGGTATTATACATATTCAGTATTTATAAAGAATAATAATAAAAAAACAGAAAGTTTATCTATAGATTATCCATACATATAGTTCATAACAGGAATCAGTGAAAAAATGTGACACAGAGACATAAAATAAGTACAAATGTTGGAAGTCTATAGATTATCCATACATATAGCTGATAACAGGAATCAGTGAAAAAATGTCACAGAAAGACATAAAATAAGTACATATGTTGGAAGAAATATCTTGACTTCTTACTCCAATACTAATGACATGACTTAAGAATAAGAGAACTAGACAACTTTACATATTTTACCCCGTTATTCCATTAAAGGTTTGTGTATGCCATCCCTACCCTCATGGCTATAAGTAGGTTTGAACCGCGAGAGATTAACCAGAGCACATGGCTCGTCTCAAGCTCATTAAAGATCACATTAGGAGCTGAGGCAAGACGAGCTAACAATATGTTTTTTAGCCTCTAGCCATTTTCAGCTATGATCGTGCTTAGCTCATTAAGAAAATAAGTACCAAGTAATTCAAGCTTGGTTTTAAAATAATGAGAACATGTTGTACATTCCATAAGCCTCGTTGTGATTCAGGTCAAGCTTGAACAATCTAGCTTGGCTCAAGTATGCTCATTACGCCCTTGCCCTCCCACATCAGCCACACATCTCATCTCTGAAATCATACACTCACCTTTCTTTGTGCATGCATATGCACCAATTATTATCTTGTCTTACTCTAATATCTCTCATTCTTGTCAGATGTATTCAACTCACATCTTCTCTCATTTGTTGGATCTTCATCTCAAAGATCTCCTTGCAAAATGTAAGGCTTCCCTCTTGTTTCCTTTTCTATCATCTACTTAATTCCCTTCTTCCCGCATCATTTCCACCTGCATCTTCTTGTCATATGTTTCATAAAAAACAAACAAATACACCATCAATGTTTCAATATGCCTCTATTATGCCCCAGTTTGACCCCCATTCTACAAAAATACATTTTTTTCTCAAACCCATTTTCAACCACACAATTTTCTAATAAAATAATTTTGCATGTAAACCTAAATTTTTTCTTACTTTCTAACCACACATCCTCCAAAAAATTCACTATTACAAAATTCATTTTTTAAGAACAATTGGTCTCAAACACACACTATTTGTCTCATTAGTGTTGTCTGTCCAAAATAAAGACTTATGCCGCTAAAAGCCTACCTTCCAGCAATGGGGACTGAAACATCCTCAGGAACGTTTCAAAATTGCTCTATAGAAACATCTCGAAAGCATGAATTATTTTTTTTAGCAAAACAGGAGTATAATACATCGTAAAAACTTGCAAATCTCTGTTTCATAAGCCAATTACGCAACTTGTCTGATAAACATGCAACTACTAAAAAACACACAGCAAATTGCTCAACTAACTCTCTGAAAGAATTGAAGCATTATAAATAACATACCTTGCCATCATATTCTTTCTTTAGTAGCACTTCCGGAGCAATATATGCAGGAGTACCAACTGTTGACTTTGGTTGGGAATGCAGCACCGAGGACTGAAAATAAGTGAATCATAATAGTTACGCACATGACAAAGAGAACAGATAAATAAGAAGTGTCTAGTTCCCTGCTAACCCCTGGGATATGAAGGCAAAAATATGTTCAAGACCAACAATTTCCTTTCAAAGTTAAAAATGACGGATCATTTTTCACATATAATGATTTGTGAGAACCTTTGTGAATTATCCAGTACCTAATACAATTGCTTCAAGCAAAAGGGATCCAGAAACATGATGCAGTCTCAAATGCAAGCTATATATTTACTCAACAAATGAAAAATAAAAGGTACAAGAAAGCCATCATCTACCTTCGAATAGCCAAAATCACAAATTTTTAAACGAGGAGCCGGACTTCCATCCAATAAAGTGTTCTCTAGTTTCAAGTCTCGATGACATATTTGCTTCAAAAAAGTAAAAAAAAAATCAGTCCGCAGGTTATATGTATCGTCATTTTAGTTTAAGCAGGATCACTAAGAGAGTTTATTAAAGTACCATAGCATGACAGTAGCTGACCCCGGATATGAGTTGCTGGAAGAAGAAGCGTGCCTACAGAAGAATTTATAGCAGATACACATTAACATAAGCAGGGAGCTATTGACAACCAAAATCAATGCAGTAGAAGTACCTCGTCCTCACTGAACCGTCCTGCATTGCATATCCGTTCAAACAGCTCTCCACCAGCTGCATATTCCATGACAATAGCCAAATGGGTAGGCGTCAATATGACCTAGAACAAAACGTATCATGATGAGCACCACCAAGTCATATAATTGAAACGCGTTTCTATTTTGCAAATGATTACCTCTTTAAATCGGACAATGTTGGGATGCCTCAGAGATCTGTGGTTGATAATTTCCCGCTTTACATTTTCATCAATCTGTCATAGAGCATGTAAAATTGAGAATAAAATAGCCAAGGTTATACACGGGGAGACTGACATCATATTATAAATACAACATAACTCTGGCTTATGATGCCTAGAATTACACAACTTTTCTCCGAATGAAAAGCGTGATCCCATCTCATCAAACGCTAGAATTTGAATGAAAAAAATAATGTTGGCTATTCACAAACAATGAAACAACTGTGGAAGTAAACTCCAACACGGAAAAAGAGAAGGGTGAGAAAAATAAAATTGCACAGGTTCCAGCATTTCCTTTTTTTTCCTCAACATTCAATGCAAAATTGCATTGTACTTCAAATGGCAAAAAAATTACAAGATCACAAATCCCAAATTCATCTGATTATTACCATTTCAAAAGCCCAATCCTCTTTCCTTTATTTCCACATGGACTTCAACTAAAATAACAACAATTAACCAAGTCTTATTCCCACTAAATTTGGGGTCGGCTACATAATTCCGTTATGTTCATAGCAAAAACAAAAATTAAATTTTACCGAGATTTTGATTTCCGAAATATAAATTAATTTCAAAATTACAGCTCAAAGAATACGATATGGAAATAGAAAATATAGAGGTACTAACCTTCTCACCTCTCTCGATATACTTCACAGCCACAAGCTCATTCGTCTGCCGGTCTCTCATGAGGCGGGCCACCCCAAAATTACCCGACCCAATATCCTTAACCAGCTCATACCGATCACTATCATGCATTATCGGCATATCCATTCCCGGTCCCGCCATCCCCGCCGGTCGATCCATCCAACCCAAAACTCCCGACCCTCAAAAATAAACTTCAATTTTCCACAAGTTCAAAAGCCCAAAATCAACATCAAAACATTGAATTCCGTTAGCTGAAGATAAAGATAGATACAGCTAGTTTGCTTGACCCCGTGAAGCCTCTACTTACCGCAACAGCTCACAATAATCAAGTTCCCAGCTACCCTTTTCTTAGGGTTTTGTAGTGCGTCACTTCAACTATAACATCGCTATATTTATATTGTTCGTACATACACATATACATACACATATATATACACATATATTTGTCTCTGTGTGTGAGAGAGAAAAGAGAGCTCGTGAATTGAGCTTGCTTTTGAGCTAAAATCACACCGTCTTCTTCTACAGACTTCCAAAGAGTGATTTTTTTAATTTTTGTGAGTGGACAAAAAGGAAACGATTATAGTAGTTGTACTCTTTGAATCAGAGTAATACAGGTGGCAGTTTCAATACCAAAAATTGCACTGCTGCTCTCCAACTAATTGCCCCCATATCAAGTTAATCTTCCACTTTGTCTTTTTGCCCAAATTGCTCAAACATTGGAAAGATAGGAAAGCTAGGACGAGTAAGATAATATACTATGGGCTATGCTACTAGTACATCATAGTCTACATAAGGGATTACACCCCCTCACATGGAAGGTGGGGTCCACTCGAATAAAAAATTATTATTCCAATGGATCTCACCTCCCATGTGAGGGGGAGGTGGAACCCTTGATGTACACCCTTGATGTACAAGTGGAAATACCCATATATCATAGCAGTGTTCTAAAATGCGTAATGCGTTGCGAAGCGTTGAGGTCGAGAATCAAAAACCACAAGTTTAAGCATGTCAATGCGAAGAATAAGCGTCATAATGCGTTTCGTATTTTTAATATTATTTAAAATTATTTTTAAAGTAATAAATATATTTTTAATATAAAAAAATAAATTTTTTAATATATCATAAAAAAAATTTACCAAAAAAAGGGNTAGTCAAGCAATTGAGCACGAGAAAAAGAAAGCACATGCGAACATTATTTTGTAGGAGCAAGATCATTACCGGCAAAGAATCTTTGCTTTTCGTTTGCATTTTTACTATCTATATTATCGAAAGATTCGACCTCTTTTTATTATGACTGCACAATAAGTCCATGTTTGGCTCCAATTTCTTAAAATTCATTTTTTTCAAATTCATTTTTAACCACATATTTTATGTTATCAACAATTTTTATCAACATTTTAACCACATATTTTGCCAGTTTTTATCAAAATTTACTAATTTTATTTAAACTAAACAAAGACTAAGTTGCGAGCCTAGAAAATGTGCTTCATTTTAAGTTCTCGTTTGAGACTCATTCTTTCAAATATTATTTTTTCTGAATTCATTTTTAGTCATACGTTTTCATAATAAAATATTTTGCACATAAATTCAATTTTTTTTTTTTTTTACTTTTAATCATACGTTCTCGAAAAAATCAATATTATAAACTTATTTTTTACAAACAATGAGGCTCAAGCACATTCTATTTAATCAAATTGAGAAAGGATCATTAGATTTGCAGAATTTGTACATGTGAGTACAACGTAATGAGTGGACATAAATTTGAAAGGTAGGTCATTAGAATTTGAAAAATGATAGTCCAACTTGAGTAAAAGGTTAAGGAATAACTTGCTTTTTTCAAAGATGGAGGATCAACTTGGTATTAGAGCAATAAATTGGGGACCAATAGTTAAAATTCCTCTAAATAATTGGAATGACGATGACCTTGTACCTAAATGACGAATCTACCCTGCATGGTGGTGGACAAAGGTCCTTTCATGGGAGCGCACGAGAATGCGATCTCGTGTACACACGTGGTGGAATATGATTCGATATTCTTCGTAAATAATGGACAAAAGGTCCTCGTGGGCCCGGCTAAATACCCGATACAGGCTTTTTAATTGGTTGTCAAAGTTGATTTCGAGGCGGCCCAGTCACTAAACGGTCCTGATTGGTTGAAGGCTGTGGCCCAATCATGTGACCCAAGTTTCCATCTAACAAGGGATAAGAATACGGAAAATTTGGCATCTGCATCGTTTAAAAGAGGAAAAAAGGGATTTCATATTTTACTACGTTACATTATTAAAATAAAAAATATTAGATGACATATGAAATATGTTTACATGTACTTTCTTATAAAAATAAACCATCCACCACATTTTGTAATCGATCCTTTTTGAATTCAGCATATTTCACGTTCTTCATTAATGTCATTTCCTAAATTGAATAAGCAATTTAAAAATTTGATGATGGCCCAAAACAATCATTTTTTTAAACATGTTTCGGATTGCTTACACAAACACATGCATCGTTATGAAATAAATTGAACTTCCAGATAATATCAAAGCACATTTATATTGAAGCAAGAATAGAGATCTCATACACAAATTCATTGTGTCTTCACTACGATTTTCACATTATCAAAAAAATAAATTCTGAAACATATCCACACGTATTATATAAGAAGTAGGACTTACGTACTCTCATTAAATTTTAGATATAAAATATATACAAATTGCACAGATAAGCAATAAAGTCATAATCAAGGACAAATGATAATCAAATGGTGGATATGTGTGATATGGTGTGTATTATTTTTTACGATGGATCAATGAAAGAACGAATTTGTGATTAGGTTTGGAAAATTTCTTGATTGGTGATTCAAGAGAGAGACGATCTGATGGAGATTTTGGTTTGGAATACAAAATGACGCAATTTTAAGGATTTTGTGATTAGTTTGACATGTTATGGGCGTGTTTGTAGAAACGTAATTTAAGGCGTGTTTGTTGGATTAAAATTAGCAAAGTAATGAATAGTCTATATGATTTGGTTAGTTTTCCACGTTTCTATTTTACTATATATAAGAACAATATTTATGATTAAAAAAAGTTGCATAGTATATTTTAAATATTTATTTAAAAATAAGTAGGTGTCATAATTTCCAAATAAGAATAAGATAATATACCGACAAATTACATGTAATAATATAGAACTTTCTAATAATGTAAAATTAAGCATGACAAATTCTTTAGTTTTTTTTTTTAAATTAATAGAGCTATAAATTATGAAGTTTGTGTATATGCGATTCTTGTTAAACTCGATCTAATGTAACATGACACCATGACACTAATCTAATGGGACTTGACATTTATGTTAAACGGTTTATTTGACATAGCTTTTATGTTTGTTTCTATTTTCTATAAAAAAAAACTTATGTACCAAATTACTTTAATTAGTTTACGGAAACTAATTTTAATATAATTTTTTAAGGAAACAAATTGAATCAGTTTTCTCTAAGAACTATTCTAACTAAAAAAAATCATTTATAAAATTAACTAAATGAGTTCAAAAATAACTTTAAATTTTATAAATAAATATTATTTTTTGAACTTTCTCAATCAAATAATGTTGTTTCAAAGTATAAGAAAAATACTCTTTAAGGCAATACCGATTAATTTTTATAATCATTGTAATTAAATGACAAAAAATTATTGACATGGAATGGTTGTAACAAGATTTGAAAAGCATTTTTACCATCATATTTACTACAGGTAGAAAATCGTGCAAAAATTTTCCTTAGTAAAATTGTTTGAATAAACTCTAAAGCCCCGTTTGATAGCACACATTTTTCAACTTTTGTAGTGTTTGATAAGCAAAATTTTCTCGAAAAAATATTTTCCAACTTTCCTTTTGGCAATGGGAAAAAATTATAGAAATAATGGTAAATTTTTTTTCACTTTTATTAACAATTTCCATACAAAACAAAGGCAAACGAATGATATTCAGTATGGGTTTTTTTTTTTTTTTAAATTTTTTTTTGGACAATTGGAATAAATTTTAAACCCAATAGCAGAAAACATTATTATTTTTATGGACAATTTTCATTAAAAAATGAAGTCAAACGGACAGCAAGTTTTCAACATTTTCCATGAAAAATTATACCAATCAAACACAATTAATTACAATTTTCAGTAAAACAATTTTTAAACAAATCAATTCCCTGTAAAGCATTTTATTTCCACCTATTTTCCACATTTGCAATCAAACGGACCCTAAGGGATTTGAAATTAAGCAATTTTTTCAAAATTAACTAGATGACAAAAAAATTACTCAAATTTAATCATGTTTTTAATTAAAATTTCCCGAATTTGATTAAATTTATACGAACCCTATTTATCGCCCAATTTATTTTTACGTCTTTACTTAGTTAATATTATTACTTTTTTATTGTTAGAACTAATTTGTATTCTCTTTAAAAATATGATAAATCTATTATTTTTGTTTGATAAAAAATTAAATTTAAAATTAACTTTAAACGGGACGGGTATTGGAGTGGGGACTATAATTCCCATGCCCGCCATGTAGTCGCTTCGAGACAATGACCCTCGCCCAATTTACCCGATTAGGTGGATAATCCTAGCCTCGTTCAGGGCGGGGAACGGGTTTCGGGTTGAACAAGTTTTTTTGTCATCCCTAAATATCTAAGGACCATGCTAGTAGTATATCAAAATTTACATCAGGGTTTACACCTCTCTCACATGGGGGATGGGGTCCACTTGAATAAAAAAACATTATTTCAATGGATCCCACCTCACATGTAAGAGAGATGTATCCCTTAATGTACAAACTTTGATGTACAAGTGAAATTGTTCAATATCTAATTAGTTATGTTAATCGAATTTAGTCTCCTTCTGTTTTTCATTTTTCATCCATAAAAATGAAAAATATGATCGTTATTCTTCACATCAAGTCATCCCTATATTTTTCATTCTGATGAGAATCAAACAGCCTCTAATTAGAATTTTAAAAGTTATTTCTTCCATAATAATAAATGAAGAAATTTTAAAATATTTTTTTACAACTTCAAGCTCAACTAAAGACGCAAGTGGTGACTCTTCATTATCGCTAAGGATAAAGGTCCGGCGCCGCAACCTCCGCCGCCATGGCAATGCTTCTAAGCACCACCCACAACCTCCATCAGCTCACTCTACAACCCCATTTTTGTAATCACTTCATCATCTCTAAACGCACCCACAAATCCTCTTTACGCCCTTCCCTTACTTTTCCTCGTTCTGTCTCATCCTTCCTCCATCGCCGCCGTATCATCTCTAACCGCCCCCACAAATCCTCTTTACGCCCTTCCCTTACTTTTCCTCGGTCTGGCTCATCCTTCCTCCATCGCCGCCGCTTCCCCGAACCCCACCACAATTTCCCCTCCTCCGCCGTTTCCGCCAGCAACTTGGTAGTGTACGATTCCGAAGAAGCAGAAGAAAATGAAACAGAAAGTTTCAATTTTGATGAGCCATTTGACTTGAACGAGCTGAAACGATTTAAATCTCCGACAGTGGAGTTAAAGGAGCTGGAGGAATTGCCTGAACAGTGGCGGCGTTCGAAATTGGCGTGGCTGTGTAAGGAGCTTCCGGCGCATAAACAGAGTACATTTACTCGAGTGCTTAACGCGCAGCGCAAATGGATTAGGCAAGAGGATTGCACTTACATTGCAGTGCATTGTATTAGGATTCGTGAAAACGAGGCTGCTTTTCGCGTAAGATTTTCGAGTCCCTGCCAGTTTCTGTCTATCTTAAAGCCTCTTCATTAAGGATAATGTTTACTTAATGAAAATGAGAGAGAGATAGGGTCTTTGTAAACCTTAATTGTAGTTTTCACAGCATTGAATTTAGTTGAAATTTATTGAAATGGATCTCAGAAAGGCATAATTATAGCTGGTTGAATTATACTACTATCATTTCTAGAATGAAGTTTGTCTATATATGATGCTTAATAGTTCTATCTGCTAGAGGGGATCTGAGTTCGACAGAATTTTCTAGGAATTTTCCAGGAAACATGAAGTTGGTCTTGTATTTTTCAGGTATACAAGTGGATGATGCAGCAACATTGGTTTAAATTTGATTTTGCTCTTGCTACCAAGTTAGCAGATTACATGGGTAAGGAGCGAAAATATTTGAAATGTCGGGAGATATTTGATGATATAATTGATCAAGGACTGATTCCTAGTGAATCCACATTTCACATTTTGACTGTTGCCTATCTTAGTTCGACTTCCCAAAATTGTTTGGAGGAAGCTTGCAGCATTTTCAATCGCATGATTCAGTTGGGAGGTTATAAGCCTCGGCTTAGCTTACACAACTCTTTATTTAGAGCTCTTGTGAGCAAAACAGGAGGATCTTGTAAACAATTTCTTAAACAAGCAGAGTTCATTTTTCACAGTTTGACGTCATATAGACTAGAAATACACAAGGATATTTATGGTGGACTTATATGGCTCCACAGCTATCAAGATGAGATAGATAAGAAGAGAATTGAATCACTAAGAAACGAGATGCATTCCAAGCGGATTGAAGAGAGTACAGAAGTGCTTGTGTCAGTGTTAAGAGCTTATTCTAAGGAAGGTTATATATATGAAGCTGAAAAAACTTGGATAAAGCTTCTTTCTTGTAATAATAATCCTCCGAATCAAGCTTTTGTGTATCTAATGGAGGTTTATTCCCGGGTCGGACAACCTTTGAAGTCGTTGGAAGTATTTAGGGGTATGAAGGAGCAAGTGGGTTCCGCTAGTGTAACAGCTTACTACAAGATCATCGAGGTATTGTGTAAAACTCGAAAAACTGAACTTGCAGAGTCTCTCATGGCGGAGTTCATAAACAGTGGATTGAAACCCCTGATGCCTTCTTTTATTCATTTAATGGAAATGTATTCTGATTTAAACTTGCATGATAAAATGGAGTTGACTTTCTTCAAGTGTCTTGAGAACTGTCATCCCAATCGAACTGTTTACAATATGTATTTAGATTCATTGGTGCAAATCAGCAATCTTGAAAAGGCTGAAGAGATTTTCAGTGAAATGCTTGGTAATGAGGCGATTGGTGTCAATACTCGTTCGTTCAACACTATCTTGAGGGGCTATCTGGCCTGTGAGCAGAATGTTAAGGCTGAAAAGATATGCAGTTTAATGCGCCAGAAGAAATTTGACATTGATTCTGCATTGATGGAAAAGCTCGATTACATGCGTAGCTTGCATTGGGAAGTCATCGAAAAGCCCACAAGGATGAAGCTGAGCAAAGAACAGCGAGAAACACTTGTGGGTTTGCTATTGGGTGGCTTAAAGATTGAAGTGGACGAGGAGAAAAAGAATCACTTTTTTCATTTTGTTTTCAAAGAAAACTTCATCGTACATTCCATTTTAAAGAGACGTGTACATGACCAGTTCCGGGAGTGGTTAGCTAGTACTGATAAGCTGGCGGATGATGAAGATGATATTCCGTGTCAGTTCTCTACAGTATCATACTCTCATTTTAATTTCTATGCAGAGCAGTTTCGGGCCCAGGGTCAGCCCGTAATTCCTAAACTAATCCATCGGTGGTTATCACCTCGTGTTCTTGCATATTGGTACATGTATGGGGGTCATAGGACATCGACAGGGGATATACTGCTGAAGCTGAAGGCAAGTAAAGAGGGAGTCCAGAGGATTGTCAAAGCACTGAAGCTAATAGCTTTAGACTGTCGGGTTAAAAGGATGAACAGAGTGTTTTGGATAGGATTTCTTGGGAGCAATGCCACATCGTTTTGGAAACTAGCAGAACCCTTTATTATCGATGAGTTAAGAGATAGTCTAGTAGCAGGTGGCAAATCCACGGATGGAGATGTAGGAACTGTGAACATAAACTTTGATATCAAGTCCGATTCTGATGGAAATCCTTCGGAGTATAGTGATAGTGATAATTAGAGCATGCTGCTTGTAATTAAAAGTTACTTTTCTAGTTTTGATGTCTGGAAAACAAGTGTTTTTTAGAAGAAAAATAACATTAAAAATCATATTTAGGAAATTAAAAGTGAGTTTGACTTGTTTTTAAGCACAACCAAACATTCTCTAATCACATCTTGTTGCGTTGTGCTTGCTTTGAGTCACATTCTTCAACTTTACTGTATGTTCAAATTTGTTATGGCCAGATCCTCTAGTCGATGACTTGTGATGCACTCGAACAAAATCCTGATTGTACAGAGCTGTAATTTGTAAAAGTCACAAGTCTTCCATATTCAACTCGTTCTCATTTGATGTCCTTTTCTTTATATACCATACACCGATGCCTGTTTGGTTATGTTCCTATGCATTCAAAATCTGCCGCCAGTTGTGGTCTTAATATTTTGTGGTTTATTGAGATGTTGAGCTCCAGAAAATGATGTTATTTTCTCTTCCTTGTCGAACAATTCATTCATATCGAGCAAGGTAATGTATATTGCCATTCTGTTGCTGGAGAAATTCTGTTTCATCTCATTTCAGAAAAGAGCCTTATCAAATGACTGATATCTTGAATATGGGCGATCAATTTCTCTGTTTTCATTACCCTTTTCCTCATTTGGGTTCTTTTCTGAATTTTTTTACTGATTTGATACTGCGGGTTAAAGTGTGTATATAGATATTGTAACAAAAGAAATTCTCCAAATTATGTTTCATACTAGAGAGTTTTTATCGAAGTTCTTCATCGTTGGCCTTCCTTTTCACTCGCCTAGTTGGTAGTTAGTTGTCTGTACATGAGCACAACACGAATAAGATAGACATATAGGAGATATGGCCTAATCGGACATGATCAAGGGATTGAGGAGATATGGCCTAATCGGACATGATCAAGGGATTGGCCTAATGGCAGGAAGTGTGATACTGTTCGAAACTCAACATTACTCAGCAAACTTTCATGACTCAATGTTTGGCTAAGCTTTGAAATAACAATAATTTGTTTTCAGAAATGTAGATATGTTGCTTTGAGGTGAGTAAAAAAATTACTTATATTACGAAACTTAATTTAACTTTGAGTGATAATTCTGAGGCAAATATGCTCATACCAGCACAAAGTTCGGCTGGCTAAAGACAAGTTGAAACACTGATGAGTTAAAAACCAGTTAAATTAATTGCTTCCAGTTATCAAAAGATGTCATCTTCGGGTCACTATTTTCGCGGGTGGCTCCAGGGAAATGTGGTTTAAAAGAATGCAATTATTGCATATACCTGTTTTAATATAATCATGTACAAAAAAAAAAAAAAAGAGTCAGTCATTTTACCAAATGATTTTGTTCACCTATTTGACAAATACAGTGTTGGCAGCAGATAAATGGGTGAAAAAACTGACCCTTTTTTAAGCAGCCTAATGACAGGATGCTCTGAGACGCAAAATATTGTCAATATGGCATGATTGAAAAAAAAAATATCTAGCGAGTATGACCACACTCGCGAGAGGTCTTTGAGCCAAGATCAATCTGTGAGCGCAAAAAATAATGCTTGTTCGGGTTTTATAAATTGCCGAAATTATAATATAATATAAAAGAATGGCAACTAAGTATGTAGTAGTTATCTATTCTACAAAATGTATGGTTAAAATTAAAATTTTGATATTGAACTTTAGCTTATGTTGAACTCCTTTTATTTTTTTTTAAAACTCATTTTCAATTGTACATTCTTTCATAAAATAATTTTATACGTAAACCAAAATTTTTTCTATTTTTAATCACATATTCTAAAAAAAATAAAATAATTATAAAACTTATTTTTCCCCAAAAATGAGGCTAAAACAAACTTATAAAAAATGACAAACAAGCTCTATTAGCAACAATTTTAATTTGGAAAAGTTTTACAAAATCTTGACAAGTCTTGAATCTGTATCATTTATTTTTCTTATAATTATGGTCATCTAGTACAACAAACTAAATGTAGACAAGTACTTTGACTATGTACGTAGTCAGGATTTCAATCTTGTGGGGGCAAAATACGGGGGGTGGAGGGGGGCGGACCCCCCGAATTTTTTTTAATTAAAATGATTGAAAACGACGATTTTTGAGTACCAAAATAGGCAAGTTAGATTGACTGACCAAAAGACAATCAATTTTTCAATACAAAAATAATATGTCCATCTATATGTCTAATGCTATACAAATTGAAAACATGACCGTTAGATGAACATCAAAAAGACAAAAAGTAAACTGCCTATCTATATAATAGATGGTAGAGATGCCTTGAAATCTGCAATTGATC